ATAGATAGATAGATAGATAGATAGATAGATAGATAGATAGATAGATAGATAGATGGATGGATGGATGGATGGATGGATGGATGGATGGATGGATGGATGGATGATATAGCTCTTTATGGTTTGTTTACTTGTTAGAACATGAGTGTCCTGAGGGCTGTGACTGTGGATCTTTTTCCCAATGCTGTTTATAGTCTATACCATTTGTGACAGTCCTTCTGACTGATTTGTTTTCCTTCTTGCCTTACTTAGCTCCAGGCAAAAGACAATATCTGTCTACTTTAACTACTACAGGAACCACAAAGAGCGGAAACAGACTTTCATTACATAGACAAACAGACAGACAGACAGACAGACAGACAGATATGAAATCTCTCAGTTGTCCACATTATTTCTGATGTTTGATTTTGCAGTTCAGATGATGATAGCATAGCTGGAAATTAGTATTTACTAACATCAGAGGTGAAGATTCAGATAAGCAAGATATATTCTGGACCAATACAGAAGACTAATGTAGACTAGGACTCCAACACTCAGCATACTTATTTCTCTGTAAAGTTGTGTTTTTCCATCATAGGAACTTTTTGTCTTCTCCCGTTATGTTAGGTATAAGTAAATCTACCCTATGCCCTACAGTCATCAAATCTACCAGTACGTGAGTGAGTAACCACTTATGAAATGTCTGAATTCTTTAGGATGTTTGAAATCAACTCAGTTTCTATAATTCAATTAGTTGCTAAAGAAGAAATATTTTCTTAGGTAGTCTCTATTAAGACACCTTAGTCTTACCAAAATAAGTAGACTGGTTAATCAAAGGACATCATGTGATTATTTCAAATTTCAAATCTGTAATGCTTTATTCAGTATAATATCACTAAATTGAACATTGTCAATTTCAAATTCCTTATCTTTTAAAAATGAATTCTATCCTTAAATTTTTATTCCTCATTGATTTAACTTAAAATGCAGATTGGTACTCTATAGTAAATAACTCTAAAATCACACAATCAATGCATGTGAGAAGTATACATCCATTTTACTCCTTAAGCTGGAAGAACAGAATGTAATTGATCTCTTTTGTATTTAACAGTGTTCCTTCTTTGAGTAATTTAGATATCAGGACACCCGCATATGTGGGGATGATAGTTTGTGAAATTTTAGGGAGCAACATTTATGCTAAAGTTTGTATCAGAAACTCCTTTAGAAACCCATATTAATATAACAGAATGTTGTATCAAAATTATGATAGTTATTTATAATATTAAATTAACTAAGTCCCAATTTTCATTCAATGAGTTAGGCACATTTACTAATCAATAACTCATGACGGCAGCATAAGATACTGTCTCCTAACAAGAAAGTGTAAGCATTCAACAAAATTCAGTTCCTGGGGGCAGTGGTGTAGCTCAGCAGCTAAGGACACTTACTGAAGAAGCCTGAATTTCATCCCTGAATATAGCATACAGGTGGAAGAAGAGAATCAACTCCACAAAAATTATCCCCTGTCCACCAAATCTACATTGTGGCATGTGCATACACATATAAAGCATACAAATAATAATAATAATAATAGTAATAATAATAACAGTCATCATAGTAGTAGTAATTTAACATCAATTAATGTGTATTCTTATATTTTTCCTAGAAAATAATAAAAAGTGAGTTTCTATGCAAACAGGAAATTAGTCTTTGATAACAGAAAAATAGACAATTTTATTGACCTTCTCCAATAAAAGATTTTAGTGACCTAAATAAGAAGTCATTATACAGAGTACTTTGTCAGAATCTGTAAGTTGACAAGTCTGTCTTGCTTGACTTGAGCTTCATATAATCTCAACCAGAGTTTTGTGTAAATTAAAGCAGTAGGTAGGTATAAGGGCAGATTCATACAAATGTATACATATTAAATTTATGCCTTTGTATAGTTATGTATCTCTTTACTAGTCTCAAAAATATAATGTTTCAGTTAATTCAATAAAAGGAAAAAAGCAAAAACAAAAACATTGATCAGTGTAGACTTTTTCTGGAGTATGGTTCACTTACCAAGACCAATACTCATGAAGAAGATTGACTGTTTCTCTCTTAGCTGCTATTAGTGACATATAAGTCCTCAGTTATGAATAGGACTTCATGCATACCTTTTTTCTCCATCCTAAGATTAATCTTGCATGGGTCTTGTACATACTCATAACCACTATGTGGTAGTTTGAAAGAAAATGGTCCCCAAAGGGATTGGCATTCTTAGGAGGTGGGGCATTGTTGAAATAGGTGTGTCCTTGTAGGAGAAGTATGTTACCGTGGAGGTGGGCTTGGAAGTCCCATATATACTCAAGTCACACCTAGTGCCTCAGATCACTTCCTGTTGTCTACAAGATGCAAGAATCTTAGCTACTTCTTTAGCACATGTCTGCCCATTT